ACAACACTGTGTCAATTTCCAAAAATGTCCTATTAGCTGTGGGTCTCTTTATTATATCCCACCCAGTTTTGAGGATTTAAAAATTGTTGTGCTATAAATGTGACTTCACCTTGTCCAGGTTTTTTCCCCCTGAGGCAGGTTTTAGAGGACTTTTATTTTGAAAGGGACACCCAAGTTAGCGTTGCTTGCTTCACGCTGCCATTTAAAGCAGAAAGTTAAAATTGCATTTAATAAGAAGCATAATAAAAGGAGATGTTTAAAACATGTTGGGCTTAACGATAAGAGAGGTAAGTGGCAACCAGTTGAGCTTAATGTACATTCTGAGTTACATGTATCTTACCATCTGTGAGCGGAAAACCTGAAAATAATGTGATAGTTTGAGATGTCATTCCTGCAGAATTGAAACTACATGTTCTTTAAAATATTATGGAAGATTCTGAGGTTTAACGTAAATGTTAACTTTGAGAGTTAAATACCTTTGAATTCGAGGTTTAAGCCGAGAACAGCATAGTTTTCCGTCACCCAGTCTTCCCGTCGATATACACTGTCAATAATAATGTGCATAACAATCAACGGACAAATTTTACAGTGTTGTTATTATAAATAAAGTGTTTTATATTAATATTATAGACCAACTGCATGTTTTGTCTAATCTTTAACTACTGTCAGAAGCATTACAGTAACCACTTTTTGTGGGATATTTGATATCTGGAATTGTACCTTCTATTCTAATTACAGTGGTGTGAAAAAGGGCCGTGTAGGTTTGGATTTTTTTCCCCCTTAATAATAAAAACCTTCATTTAAAAACTGCCTTTTGTGTTTACTTGTGTTATCTTTGTCTAATATTTCAATTTGTTTGATCTGAAACATTTCAGTGTGACAAACATGCAAAAAAAAAAAAAAACAAGAAAGGGGCAAAAAACTTTTTCACACCACTGTATATCTCCACTTGGTACTAAGAGAATGCAGAGCCATAGTTTGTGCAAGACCAGGTAGGGAGCAACTGAATGTAGACCTACATGTCTTTATTTTCCTACATTTCATATTTTAAATTAATAAAATAACATTAGCTTAATAATTGATTTTGTGTTTACAATACTGTGATGTATTTTCAATTTCATTATATTTATTCATGTCAAAAACAGTGCTTAAGTGTAAATTGAATTGACAAAGAAACACAGAAAGGCTGCACATTCTGAATAAGAATACACAAATTTCCCCAGAAGTCAATTAACCTATCAGTATATCTTTGGACTGTGAGAGGAAACAGGAGCACTTGGAGGAAACTGACACAAACCTGAGGAGAAAATGCAAATTCCACGCAGATAACACCCCAGAAATTGAATTCAGGGCCCCAGCGCTGTGAGGCAGCAATGCTAAGCACTGAACCTCCAAGCTGCCCTAACATTTTTATATAAGTGCCTAATAAGATTTCACATAATTAATATGTATTTTACAGGTGTCCTTGGCTCTCCGTGAAGGTAGAATATCTCCCAAAGAGCTCTGCCAAAAATGCCTGAAGCTTATAAAGAAAACAAAGTTCTTGAACAGCTACATCACTGTAACTGAAGACCTGGCCCTGGAACAAGCTGAGGAAGCAGAGATAAGATTTCAGAGAGGTACTGTACAGTTTGGAGCTTTTCGTTTGCTGCATTGGTCACACATACAGAACTGTACAACACATAGTATTATATTTAAAAGATAAATGTACACCCTTCTCTGAGTGTTTACACCAGGTAACAGCACGACTGTCAAAAGACTCTTGTGTCTGAAATGTGAAAAAACAGGAGTCAAGTGCTCTTGATGTGTTCTAAAAAGAACAAGACACTCTAGCTCACTAAAGTATACTTGAAAGTCTGTTGCTCTTTCCTTTGAAAAAAGGCTTTAGGTCTTCACACCATGTTCTTGAGTTGCTTTAAGCCAAAACATTTAATTATCACCAAGATCATGACAGTCATCTTTTTATTTGGATTAAAAAAAAGTAGGCATTTGCCTACAGAGTCAGATCTCCCGCCGCCAGACCTAATCTCTTATATTTCCGTATACCTTTATCATATAATAGATCATATAATAGAACATTTGTATTATTAGTTTACATAAATTATCTCCTTTCTTCCCATCTGGATTTGAATGGTGCGAATAATCCCCCTGTTTATTAAAGCTGTGTATCTCTCCTGCAGGTAAACCCTTGGGTCCTCTGGATGGGATTCCAGTAGCAGTGAAAGACAACTTCTCTACTGCTAATATCGAAACCACTTGTGCATCTGTGATGTTAAAAGGTAAGACATTATGATGCAAATATTGTAAATTGCATTCAGATAATTTAAAGTTTTTCTGTAACACCACCAAATGGTTTGTATTCCTGTAGCTTTTGGATTTGCACATACTGTACGGTACTGTAAGGATTGTATTGTATTACTTGATGATTAAAGTATACTATATTACTTACATAAAATAATTTGACCCGCTAAAAGAATACACTGTTTACCTTGTTTGCAATTCGGCGTTTATTTCTGTCTTGATGGTTTCCCCTCCCTTTTCTATTCCTCCATCAGGCCCGACAGGTGGTATAAAGTGATTTCAAAATCCTCTGGGTTGTGGGCCTCTATTGTCCGATTACAGAATCACGCTTGAGGTGAAAGCCCTACAACACTATGTATTGCTGGCTCCAGATTTATTCGTGCCAGTGCAGGGTCTGTCACACATTTAACTTTTTATGATCTACATTGAAATGGGTAACATGAACACACGTCTGGCCTAAGAATGTTGTCTTTCAGGACAGTTGGATTTTTGAGAGAGTGTGAACAGTTATTTTCATTTCTGTGGGCTGATGAAGGAAGCTCTTTGAATTTAGGTCCCAAGTGCAGATAACAAGCAGCAGTGGAGGAATGGCTCAGCCATGACCTTGTGGAGTGGACTTCCACATCTTTGAAGTGTGTTTGGTGGATTCACAAATTCACTGTTCTTACTTAACAAGTCTTAAGTTCTTCTTTGAATTGAATGTTTTCCTTCTCCCTTCATAGCAACAAAGTTTTCCATAAAACAAACTCTTCCAAAACTACACAGTTAAAAGTTCACACAGTTCCAGGTCTCTTCCCCCACGGTTGCATTCCCAAGGCTCTGTGTGTTGCAGTGTACCATGGTAGTCTCCTTCCTTGGTGCAGCACATAGCAGACTTTCTGCCCTCCTTCACCAGAAAGCAGATAATGAATAACACTTTGATGTCTTTGCATCCAGGTTTTTGGATTGTAACCTGATCAAATTTGTTGCTCTTCACTGGTCAGGTGAACAAGGGCCGCAGAACTTTGCCCTCAATTTAGGGAAAAGCTGACATTTTTGCTTGAACCTACTGTTTTCTCATAGTACAGTGTAATATGTATGTCCCTCTGTTTTCTCTGTGTTGAAGATCCATTAATAGTTCCTAGGGGTAATGTGTTTTTAGAACTGAGACAAAGTAGTATTTTTTTACAACAATATTTTATTGGGAAATTAATAAGAAAATACTTTAGAAATGTGCTTCTCAGTGTCTTTTTAACAACGTTTAGTATGTAAACCTTATGCACATTATTAAGAAACAATTAATCTTAATATCACCTCCGTCTTTTGTTTAGGTTACATTCCTCCTTTTAATGCAACAGTAGTTCAGAAGCTGTTGGACCAAGGTGCTGTTCTCATGGGCAAAACAAATTTAGATGAATTTGCAATGGGGTAAGAACTTGGATCCTGTTTCACCGCACATACTGTATTAATTTACATTCCAGTCACTGCATAACAGTTTAGGAGATGAGTAATTGTTGGAAAAAAATGATTTACACCTTTTTTATGTGACTCTCACAAGGAGCCATTTAGGTCTTCTAATAAGCTTTTGTAGGTTTATTTTTTTATGTACTTTGACAAAGCCTTTTTCTTTACCATAATATTAAGGGAACCTTTCGAAGAATGGAGCCAAAAAAAGATGCACTGTGAGGGATGTCTCAAAAAGCTTAAGTCTTCTTTGGTCACATTCTGAGAGGAAATGGTTGTAAAGACATGGTAGCACTGCTGGTGTCATTGCCTGCTTGTTTCTGCAGGTCTGGGAGCACCGACAGTATATTTGGGCCTGTGAGGAACCCCTGGAGTTACTCCACACATTGCAGAGACAGGAGTGGGCAGACCCCAGGAGGTGGGACCTCAGACTCTGACTGGGCTGTGACAGGGGGTAGCTCGGGGGGGAGTGCGGCTGCCGTGGCCTCTTTAACATGCTTTGCGTAAGTACTTGCCATTGTTCTGCCTCATGAGCTGCAGATATTCAGACTAGTATGTTGTAGGATTCTTAACCTTCTGAATCTTCACCACTTTACTCCTCAAGTAGTTGTGCATCACAGATTCCCTGCCTTTCTGTATTTTGAACTAGATTTCTGTCCTACACTAAAGGCCACTAAAGACCATTGTTTTCAGCTTGACATAGTTTATATAGCTTAGCCCTCACAGTGTGATCAAAAGAACGTACTGTTTTAGGCCTGAACAATTGCTACAAAACTCCAGTGGATTTGCAGGTCCCTAGGCTCAGATACGGGAGGATCCACAAGGAATCCTGCAGCAAACTGTGGGATTGTTGGCTTGAAACCTACATATGGTCTACTTTCACGCCATGGACTGATCCCACTGGTGAACTCCTTGGATGTACCAGGCATAATGACTAGGAGTGTTCATGATGCTGCCACTGTTCTAGGTATGAGATACACATTTACATCATTTGACAACCAGGAACAAATACCATCCTAAAAATGCATAACTCTTGCAAAAAGGTATATATTTTTCTATACTGTGACTAGGGCTTTGAGTTTTCCTTGATCATGTGATCTTCAGGGATGCTAAGCTATAGTTCAGTCATTATATTCCAGGCATCCCTGTGCCTGGTTTGTTATGACTAAGGAAGAAGTATACATCACTGTTAATCTACATGCTTATGTAATTTATGTGTATCAATTGTGATAATTAAATGACTAATTGTGATGGTTAAGGTATCACAAGGGGATGATTATTTCATGATTTTAGAAGTGACTACTGTATATCAACCGTTTCTTGAGGGAGGGAACTAAAAAACAGATTTTAAAATTGAGAAAGAAAAACTCCAGGCTCCAATTATGACTGTTGCATTGGGAAATTTTGATTCCTGGCTAAATGCTTCAAATGTGTTGTAGGATCTTTCAAACATCTACTTGATCCTAAATCTCTAGTGCTTTAGTGCATGTTGAAAGATCACTAATGTAAATAAGAGAGAGATTTTGGCATGATTTGTATGGTTTTCCATGGTTCATCTTATGCTGATAGTGCTTTGTGTTAGCAGGTGTTCTCCAAGGTCATGATCCAAAAGATTCCACAACAGTAGACTACCCAATCACGCCAATCAACCTGCCTGATGACATAGATGTCAGCAGTATCTGTATTGGTATTCCAAGGGTAAGACATCTTTAATTCTCCTGTTGCTCTTTCTCTGCCTTTGTGTGTACAGTGGCTAAACCAAATCTATGACTTTGTTAAAGTTGACAGATTATATACAATGTTTACTTGTTTCTATTTAAAAAAGCACTAATTATAGTGCATGTTCTTATTCTATGTAGTGTGTCTTTGTATTATGTGTGTCAATTAATTATTATATTAAATTAATTGAAAAGGAAACAGGCCTATGGAAGTCTCTGCTTAGAGTGTGGGATGTTCTCTGTATTGGGGTAGCCCACTATGACTGGGACATCCCAGGACATGGCACATGGTTGACTTAAATACCAGAAGAGCTGGGTGGAGCTAGTTAGGAAATCACAGACTCATTGTCCACCCGAAGCAACTTTTGCTGGTCAGTTTCCTCTAGACTGCCCATTATCATTAGAAATGTTCCTGTCTTGTACCCTGGTATGACTCTATCCATATGAGCAGAGAGTTGAATGAAGTACAAAAGGGAAAAACATTTAGTTAATTCAAATCACAAACAGTGAATTTTATACAAACTGATGTAATGATGACAGTGACCCAGTGGCTCCATTTCACTTGTTTCCGGATGGTTTTAGAGCTTTTAGGTGAATGAACTGAATTTTCATGTCCGCTCTGTCTCATGAGTGCGTCTAGAATAAAGGGTAATTAAATAAATTGGCAGTAGGCATATTACTAAAGTTGTGAAAAAAGCGAAAACCTACTGTCGAACAGTATTTAATTAGAGGGATTTTGTTTTTGTTTTCTTTTTGTACCTTTTTATGTTCCATATTCTCTTTTCCTTTGTTGTCCTTGAACAGCATTCAGAAATGTCATTCTGCTACACAAGCTTTCAAAGAGAAGAGGTTGTGTAGAATGGCATCCATATAATGTAGATTTCATTTGTTTTACTCTCACGTCACGAGAAAACAAAGGATTCAGAATTTAGATTAAAAAACATCAAAGATGCTTCTTCAGACCAAAGGGATTTTTCCTTCTAGTGTAAAAAGACATTTAGATTAGAGGCTGGGCCTTGCTTGGATTTTGTAAACTGAGATTGAATAGCAATGTGCTGCGTTGTTTTCCTCAGGAATACCATGCTCCCGGCTTGTCCAGTGAGACGCTGTCCCACTGGAGCAGAACGGCAGAGCTGTTTGAGAAGGCGGGAGCTCGAGTCGTTGAGGTGTCCCTCCCTCACACTCAGCACTCCATTGTGTGCTACCATGTGCTTTGCATGGCAGAAGTTGCGTCCAACATGGCCCGGTTTGATGGACTGGAGTACGGTATCTGATTCCTTTATTTAACTTTCATGTCCAGGCTCAGCACTCTCACGGGTATCGTACTACTGCATGTTCACAGTAACACCATCATTAACTACCTACAGGATGTGATTCTGAACTTCATCATCTTTAATACACACTGCTAACAAGAACAGATAGAAAGTGCAACAACTTGCAGCACTTATTGTGCTCTGCAAGAGTGTTGGCTTGTTTTTTTCCCCATTACGCATGTCCTTTATACGGTTCATTCAAGCTCTGGTATGGATCGAGGTCATGACATTGCCAGCAGCACAAGGCGTACTGTGTTGTTGGCTGTTTGGCACTTGGCTGAGATGATATTTTTATACAAATACATGTTTTTTCAGTAAGAATGGTATGTTCAATTTTAGAAACAAATTAATGTAAATATTGCCATTTCCTTTTCAGTGATGCTCAGGGCAAATCTAGTGTTGTGGCATTTGAAGTGTGTACATAATATACTTAAGAAAAACAATTACTCTTTTCTTACAAAATATCTCCAATAAGACAAATTGTTAGACTTGTAAGATGACTGTGCTTTTCTAGTAGTACTGTTTTACCATTAGGCAGGTAAAAGAATGGCCTTCTGATATACAAATGTAATATAAATGTCAGCTTTAATGTGCCATTATCCTTTCACTTCACCAAGATTGTATTAACGTTGTCCAGGTTACCGTAGTGCCGTTGACAGCTCAACAGAGGCCATGTACGCAGCAACCAGACATGAAGGTTTCAATGATGTTGTGAGAAGAAGAGTTCTCTCGGGAAACTACTTTCTTTTAAAGCAGTAAGGGATTTGATTTTTTTGTGTGGTCACTGTGGAAAATGAGAGGTCACAAATTAAACTCAGACATGTTTACCTTGATGCATACACTCTTAAACTTTCAAACCAGCGGGTGATTTTTGAGAAGCTGTTTTTGCCATTTAAGAGAACTTATACCTTCAAGTCTTGTGTTCTGTACATTCTATTTTTGTACTAATTGTAAACTTTTTGTAGTAAAACAAATCAGGAATTTAAAATTCTGTTTGGTATAAATTCTAAATAAAATTCAGAATCGGGCACCTTGGATACAATTTTGTCTTAATGTTTGTTTGTTGTGTTTGCTTTAGGTATTTCATGTTTTGCTGTGCCCCTTTATTATCAAATATTGCTAACTTCAACATTGTCTATATTATCTATGAAGACAATGATTCAATTGCAAATATTTTCTAAACAAT